AGATGTACCCCAATCACAGATCGAGAGAATGCATATATCCTTTATACAGGTTGTCCTCGACATATGACCACAACCGAGCCCAAAATTTAAGTTGCTAAATGAGAACTTTTCCAAGTGAGATTTGCCCCGTTTTTAACGATGTTCCTTGCCACTTTTGTTAAATAAATCGCTGTAGTTGTTAAAGGAATAAAAAATGGTCATGTCACTTTTTTCATCAGTGCCGTTGTGACTTTGAATGGTGGCTAAAGAAATCGTTGTAAATCAAGGACTACCTGTGTTCACCACTAGAATAGAATAGAGCTGGAAGGGACCTTGGAGGTCTTCTAGTCCAGCTCAAGCAGGAGAACCTATATTATTTCAGACAAGCGGCTGTCCAGTCTCTTAAAAACCTCCCGTGATGGAGCGCCCACTCAGCTGATCCTATGTTTGTAGCAGGACTTGGGCTACGATGAAATCCAGAGCCAGCCATCCAGAACCCCAATGCATGGCATTATTTAATCAAAATCATCACCTAGAGGGCCCTGACCCTGCAACATCGAATCAGCAGAGCAGATGCTAAAGGGAGACAAAGCGGTTCCACCTGGCCCGGTGCTAAGCAGAGCTTTATAGGGAGAGAGCAACACCTGGAATTGCACCTGGAAAGAAAGCTGGCAACCGGTGCAGCTGGCAAAGCAGAGGTGGTACCTGGGCATACTGCGCCATGCCCGATCCCGCTTGCCCTTCCAGCATTATACTAGACCAGTTGAAGCTTCCGGGTGGTCTCCAAGGGCGGCCCCAGGGACAGAGCATTGCAGTAGTCCAGCCAAGTTGGAGGACAACCCAAAGCAAGCTGGCAACCAATGTAGGTGGCAAAGCAGAGGTGGTACCTGGACATACTGCGCCATGCCCGATCCCGCTTGCCCTTCCAGCATTCTACTAGCCCAGTTGAAGCTTCCGGGTGGTCTCCAAGGGTGGCCCCAGGGACAGAGCATTGCGGTCGTCCAGCCAAGGTGGAGGACAACCCAGAGCAAGCAAGGGCCACTTAGGGACACAACTTCCCTGCAACTTCCCCACCCTGCTTGGATTCCTCTGCATCTCCCCTTCCCCGCGTGTCCTGATTCCACCCCTGACTCTCCTCCAAGGTCATTCCCAGGCCTCCTGACTCCGCCCACAGCTCCCTGGCCCCGCCCACAGACCTCCTGGCCCCGCCCCCTTTTCGCCCGCCTGCTCCAAGATTGGACACCCCCCTCGCCCGAGACCCGGGGCGCCCACGCGGCGGCACTTCCCACCACCACTCCCCCCCCGGGCCGCCCCGATCCGGGCAGGCCGCCCCCTTCCCCGCTCTTACCTTCGCCCAGCAGGAGGATGCGCACGTCCCGCCTCATCCCCGCGGCTTCGGGGGGGGGGGAGGAGGGGGTGCTGCAGCGATCGCCGCTCGCTCCGGCACTTCCCACCCTTCTCGGCGCTGCCGCCGTCTCGCTTCCCGCTTCCGCTTCCGCCTTCCCGAACGGCGCCGCGTATTGCCTGGAGCGCCCTCTGCGGCCGGAGTGTGAAACGGCAGCCTTTTTTTTTTTTTTGTTTAGCCAGGCTAAGCTGTCGGTGGGATCAAAAAAATCAGGATAGAGCTGGAAGGGATCTTGGGAGGTCTTCTAGTCCAGCCCCTTGCTCACTCAAACGGGAGATTCTATACCATTCCAGACAAGTGGCTAGCCGATGTCTTCTAAAAATAAACCCCTCCAATGATGGAGCATCCACAAGTTCTGGAGATCACCCATTCCACTGTCCAATCAATCAATCAATCAGAACAGAGCTGGAAGGGACCTTTGAGGTCTTCTAGTCCAGCCCGCTGCTCAAGCAGGAGAACCTATGCCCTATTCCAGAAAAGTGACTGTCCAGTCTCTTCTTAAAAACCTCCAGTGATGATGAAGCATCCACATCTTCTGGAGGCAATTGCAATGCTGGCTTCAAATATCAGTCGAGCCAAGGTTTAACAGGGAGAATTGCAAATGCGCTGGACTCTGCTGCGCGGGTATTTATTGTTTTTCAATCTCATGCTGGCTGGGGGATTTGGGGAGTTGAAGTCCACACATCTTAATGGTGCTGAAGTTGAGAAACACCAATTGAAATGAATACGGAGCATTATTCTGTACTATGTTGTATTATGGTGTTATGTGAATTTCATTGTGTATACTGCTTATATACATAAAATGACTATTATTATTATTATTATTATTATTATTATTATTTAATCTTTAGTGAGATTCACAGGCTTTGGGGCTGGTTGGTAGCTCAACAGCTCAAGTCCTAACCAAGGACCTTGGAACTGTTCAAATAGCATCGGAGGATATAAGCTGTTCCAAGTAGGGTGGGTTTTTTTGTAGAATCAGGGTATTCAAGTCTGATACATTCAGGATTTCCAAATAGCCAGGCAGCCCTTTAGGTATTGCTCCAGGGGCTCCGATTACTATTGGGATCACACACGATTTCTTTTTCCAAAGTCGCTCAACTTCAGTTTGTAAGTCCCGATACTTTGTGATTTTTTCTTGCTGTGTGTCTACAATTCGTGCATCACCAGGTATTGCAATGTCAATGAACCAAAATATTATTATTATTATTATTATTATTATTATTATTATTATTATTATTATTATTTGTCATGATCATCATCTGCTTCTTAACTATCTGCCAGCCCCCTGAATTCTGGCTCAACTATTCGTTACAGGTAGTCCTCAACTTACAACAGTGACTGAAGTTACAATGGTACAGAAAAAAAAGTGACCTATGATCATTTTTCACATTTATGGACCATTGCAGCATCCCTGTAGTCACATGATCACAATTCAGATGCTTGGAAAATGACTCATACTTATGACTGTTGCTGGGAATCCCCTTTTGTGACCTTCTGAGTCAATGGGGGGGGGAGCCAGATTCATTTAATGACTGCGTTACTAACTAAACAACTGCAGGGATTCACTTAACAACGGTGGCAAGAGAGATCGTAAAGTGTGGTAAAACTCACTTAACAAGGGTCTCACGTAGCAACAGAAATGTTGGGCTCAATTGCAAATCAAGCACTTAACTGCTTAACAGCTGTGGCAAAAATGGTCATAAAATCAAGCATGACTCATTTAACAACCACTTTGCCGAGCAACATGAACTCTGGTCCCAATTGCAGTTGTAAGTTGAGGACTGCCTATTTTCCATCCCAGAATGTCTCCTTTACTCCAGTATAGACTAATGGACGTGTGTAAAAATAGCTAAATCCAATCTGCTTAGGGAAATCTTGAATCAGAAAGCGACATTACAAAAAACAATCCTTATCCATTCGCTACTAATGTTTAAAGATACCATAATTTAGCTAGTCCAGTTGCTTTCCAATTAAGCCAGAGATGTTGTTTCTATTGTCCTTGGGGAATTAAATAATGTTTTTTTAGCTGTTGGGAGAATTCCTAAATCGGGACAGAATGTTTCCATCTCTTCGCAATTCTTGTATTTGCAATAAAAAAAGTAAACTTATTTTGTTTGGAGACGAAAGATGAACTGGGACATGAAAAAAATGACATAGTACTGTATGAAGAAGTGATAATCCGTGATCATGCTATTCTCAAAAAAGATGTTTTATTTGTATTATGGTTTTTTTGTGAAAACCCAAATAAAATTTATATTTAAAAAAATATGACATAGTACTTTAGCTGTCATGCAAAGATTAGTCTTTAAACGGAAATACATAGCTGGCAATAACTCTACAAAGAAGCCCAAGAATGAATGGAAATTGCTTGACAACTCCCAACAGATTCATGTGCCCCAGAAATTCTCTGTCATGTGTAATTTGTATAACAATTAGTGAAATTCAGCTTTGCATATCAAAAACTCCGGCATGCAGGTTTCTTTTGCAAATGGGACGTAACAGAAAGAACAATTCCAGCCTGAGTTTGGATGTTTTTCTGGCAGAAAGGTGACTAAAGTTAATGATTTTTACATCCAATGAAAAGCACCAATAGAGAGACCCAAACTATTTTATTAAATCACTTGCCCCAAATTGCTGTTGTTGAATCCTTGGGTATCATAGTTTAGATTCCTCTTTCAAAATTCTGTGCTGCCAAACCAATTACGGAAAGCAGACAAAAAAACAAGTTGTGAATAAAATAAACGTGGAACCATAATGTACATAGCCATTAGATCAAAAAGAGGTCACTAGGTCAAAACTGACTGAGGGAATTATCCCCAGAGAACTACATGGATGAACTAACTGAATCAAAACCTTTGTTAAGAACTCACATTCATGCATACAATTTTGGGAAGCTAAGGTAATAAATTTTGTATAAAACCCAACATATTAATTACTCTTGCTACTGCTCTGGGTTATAATATCCACTTGCACTAAAGAAGACCTAGAAATTTTGAATGAGGCAGTTCACCCAACCCTCTCCCCAATTCCTTTTCCTGTTCTTCTCCCAACATCTCCAGCAAAGCTCTTCTAACTATTGCGATGTGTTATAGCAGTGTTTTTCCAGATTGGCAACTTTAAAGATGTGCGAACTTCAACTCCCAGAAATCCCCAGATAGCATAGAATAGCTGGCTGGGGAATTCTGGGAGTTTGAAGTCCACGCATCTTAAAATTGCCAAGCTTGACAAACACTGTGCTAGAGTTGTTCTGAGGTTTTCTATTTCAGGAACCGAAAATACTTACTCTAGCATTTTAACCCCTGGAGATAAGTCGTGCTTTGTAAGATGCCTTATGGCTGACTTTAATTTCATTGCTGGATATTCCACAAAACGAATAGAATCTCTGCAATCTACTTCTTCTAAATTCCAGGAGCTCATTAACCACCTTACAAGACGCCCTGTAAACTTCTCATGGAAGCTCTGGAAACAACCGGCGGCTTCTTGTTTGAAAATGTGGTAGTACCCCTCTGGGCTGATAGTTGGCACAAGTTCCCTGGCAACCTGGCCCTACCTCCCTGCTCTGTAAAATGGTGGATGTCGGTCCCTGTTTAGAAGGTAGCAGCAGAAGAGGCGATCAGAACGATGGGTCACCAAAGCCAACCTCTAGCTGGACTTGTTTGACCTCCTGCAGGAGATCCAGGTTGTCCAACTCCAACTGCAACAAAAGGGAAAACGGGTAACTCAAACATCGGTCAAATATACTCAGAAAAGGAAAGGGCAGTAACCCTACTTCAATCCAATGTAAGACAAATGAAAAATGCCTCCTTCTTAATATTTATGTAAGTATGTTCTGGAGAACCAGTAGCAGAAATTTTGAGTAGTTTGGAGAATCGGCAAATCCCACCTCTGATTGGCCCCGCCCCCTTCTATTCTCCGCCTCCTGAGTCCCAGCTGATTGGCTGGGTCTTCTTTGGTTGCCCTGCACAGGAGAACGGAGCTGGAAAGCAGGTTAGTGGGGTGGGGAGGGAATGGAGATTTTGCAGTATCCTTCCCCTGCCACGCCTGCCAAGCCACACCCACCAAGGCACACCAAGCCCACCAAGACACACCCACAGAACCGGTAGTAAAAAAATTTAAATCCCACCACTGGTTAAAAGAGAGAAGTGAATATGATGACTATCATGTTGAATACTATTACATTAATATTGCATAATCAATTAGTATAATGAATAGGTAGATATTACTATGTTAAATATTGTAGAATTAATATGTAATGAAGGATGTGGTAACTTTGATTATTGTTTAACAAAGAGGTTTGTACCCAGACCACACACTGTTCCATTGAAGATGGAATAGTTGTATTAAAAATAAAAAAAATATAGCTTGAACAAGGGGGAAAAAAACCCGTGACCAACCTTGACAGCGTATTTATAGGATTGTTCAGCCTCCAGTTGTCTTCCGCCCTAAAGGGGGGGGAAATAGAAATCTGTGCTAAACAAGTTCTGACAAGGCAAGAGAAACCCTGAAAAGCTTAATGGTGTTTTTAAAGGAAAACGGAGAACGGGAGGAATAAATCCCCCAGGGGAAGGTCTCTCATCAAACTGAGAAGTGTAAAGAAAACGAATGGCAACCGAGAAAAAGGAAAGGGGGTAGGGTCAGATGTGAAAATGCATTTCTACATTTCTGCCTCGACTGAGAATTTCCTTCCATCCATTCATTTGACCTGGGAAAGGACTTCAAGTGGGTTTAGAAGCCATTTTTCAATCACAAGAGCATTGAATTCATCTGCAGAGAAGCCCCTTACTCTAACCCTAATCTCAATCCTGTCAGTGGTCCAGTGAAATTCCCCATTTCATTCAAAACTCAGAAACAAAGTTCATCCAAGTAAGAATTTATTGGAGAAGTCATATTGGCCCATCTGGGAAAAACCTGAATCTGAGAGTTCCGGGCTATCCCTTCCCAATTCAAAATCAAAAACCCATCCTCTGCACATCATATGGCCCAACCAAATCTTCACCCCAACTGGAGACATCACTCCAAGTCACTCCCCTCCAAATGCAAGGCAACATGTCCTTGACTCTCAGAGAAAGAATGTTGCTGAGTCTAATCTTCTACTCACTAAGAAATCCTCCCTCCCAATTTCCCAGGCACTAAATTACGTGGAAGCTTCAAAGCTTCCGAGTGAAATATGGCTTCCAAGGCTGACAAATCCTATGATTCCGGAGAAGAGGAGATCCTTAGCGGTTGGATGAAACGGACCTCTGGAGACTCACCTTCATGCAGACCAAAGCGAGGTAGGCCCAGACTTCCGCATTGCTGTTGTTGAGGGCATTGGCTTCAGAGAGGGCATCCTCCGCCTCGGCCATCTCTTTGAGCTACATAAAAAAGCAACATCAGCCTATCGAAAAATGATAAACTGTGGCAAATTGAATATGAGACTCTCAAAAAAAAGATGTTTTTGTCCTCCAAGAGGCAACTGGACTTTCTGGTTTTTCTTTGAAGAGCTTTTGCTTCTCATCCAAGAAGCTTCTTCAGCTCTGACTGTGTGTCCTTCCCTTCCCCACCATCCAGTCAGAGCTGAAGAAGCTTCTTGGATGAGAAGCGAAACATCTTCAAAGAAAAACAAGAAAGTCCAGTTGCCCCTTGGAAAAAAAAACACCTTTGGGACAACCAGGACCTGGATGACGGAGAATCTCCATAGATACAGGTAGTCCTCAATTTTAAACAGTTCATTTTAGTGACCGTTCAAAGTTAAAAAGACACTGAAAAAAGCGACTAATGACCATTTTTCACAGTTACCCCCTTTGCAGCATTTCCATGATCATGTGACCAAAATTCAGATTCTTGGCAACTGACTCATATTTATGACGGTTGCAAGTGTCCCGGGATAACGTGATCCATTTTTGTGACCTTCTGACAAGCAAGGTGAATGGGGAAGCCAGATACACTTAACAGCCATACTACTAATTTAACAACTGCAGTGATTCACTTAACAGCGATGGCAAAGAAAGGTTGCAAAATGGGGCAAAACTCACTTAACAAATGTCTCACTTAACAGAAATTTTGGCCTCAATTATGGCCGTAAGTTGCAAACTACCTGTATTTAGCTATGGAATCGGAGATATTTCATTACTCATCTGAGGAACTTCATCAGTTAAAATTAAAAAAAAATAGTTAGGCCAAGAGTCAGGGAATCTTCATTTACATATTGCAATACATTTAGGGAAGAAATTCCTTGAAGTTGGTGTGATAAGATTTAGTGCATTCCAATGACTCTCTGACTCTCTGCCTATTTTTAAAAAAATTTGACTGATGAAGTAATGAAATGTCTCAGATTCACAATATCGTCCAATTGCCATTTATAGATACAGACCCCCAACCCCCACTCTCTAGACCATTTCTGAGAAGAGTCCAGTCTCTTCTTGAAAGCTCCCAGTGATGAAGCTCCCACAACTTCTGAAGGCAACTTCAGTTCCATGGGTTGGTTGCTCTCACCGTCAGAAAATTCCTCCTTGTTTCCAGGTTGAATCTCTCCTTGTTCAGTTTCCTTCCATTATTCCTTGTCTGGCCTTCAGGTGACCCCTTCCTCTCTGGGACAGCCCCTCAAATATGGGAACACTGCTATCATGTCTCCCCTGGTCCTTCTCTTCACTAGTCTAGCCATGATTTTAACCTTTTTAGATACTTTTGGCCAGGGTGATTGAGTCTTCATTAACGTCAGCCTAACTTTTCATTCTGACCTACAGGGCTCTAAGGAAAGCTGTAGCCCATCCATTCCCTCTGCCCTCTGGATGCTGCAGGATTTGCAACTTCATGACTTTTGAAAGGTGTCAACTTTTTTTCACTGATGGTTCTTGTCCATTGAGGGATGAGGAAAATGGAGAATTGGACATGCGATCCACTCAGTCTTCCATTCTAACTCATTTACAACTACAACCGTACAACTACAACCACATAAACATGTGATGAACAGTTGAAGAAGTTTGGTAGGTCTAGCCTATTGAAGAGAAGGACTAGGCTTGACATGACAGCAGTTTTCCAATATTTGAGGGGCTGCCACAGAGAAGAGGGGGGGTCAAACTATTTTCCAAAGCATCAGAAGGCAAGACGAGAAACAATGGATGGAAACTAACCAAGGAGAGAACCAGCCTAGAACCGAGGAGAAATTTCCCTAGAGTGAGACTAAAAGAAGCCATCCACTTCTGGGTAGCTTTCTGTTTCCCACTGAGGTCTAAAGAGGAGAGAAACCTTTTTATTTTATTTTTATTTATTTATTTTGTCAAGCATGTAACAGATATAAGTATAAACAGGATTATTAATACATGAAATGGATACGAATAAAAAGGAACATTTGGACAGGGACGGTAGGCATGTTGGTGCGCTTATGCACACCCCTTACAGACCTCTTAGGAATGGGATGAGGTTAACAGTAGACAGTCTAAGTCTAAGGTTAAAGTTTTGATGGTTTGGGGAAGAGACCACAGAGTCAGGTAGTGTATTCCAGATATTGATCACTGTTGCTGAAGTCGTATTTCCTGCAATCGAGTTTGGTGCCGTTAACCTTCACTTTGTATTTATTGTATGCTCGTGTATTGTTGTGGTTGAAGCAGAAGTAGTCATTGACGGGTAGGACATTGCAATAGATCATTTTATGTACTACGCTTAGGTCAGACTGAAGGCGGTGTAGTTCTAAGCTGTCTAAGACATTTCAAGTCTGGCGGCATAAGGTGTTCTCTTGCGAGTAGAGAAGTGGAGGACTCTTCTCGTGAAATATCTCTGGACTCTCTCGATTGTGTTAATGTCCGATGTGCAATGCGGGTTCCAGACAGGTGACCTGTATTCTTGAATTGGTCTAGCAAATGTTTTGTATGCTCTAGTTAAAAGCGCAATATTACAGGAGAAAAAGCTACTTAGGATTAGGTTAACAACTCTTAACCTTTTGGCAATGTTACAGGGGCTCTGGCATTTAGATCTTTAGAGATGAGTACTCCAAGGTCCTTGACAGAGTGAAGGTCGTCCACCTTTGGGATAGACTTTCATGAAAGCTTTTTTTCCATTCCTCCTTTATTATTATTACTCACACATTCAGCCAGGCATTAGATTGTATCTGACACTTTTTGTTCACCTAGTGAGTCCTTCCCAAGGACCCGGGATAGGCAGATTTCCTGACAGTGAGAACAATTCATCAGTGGAGCAACTTGCCTCCAGAAGTAGTGAATGCTCCAACACTGGAAGTTTTTAAGAAGAGAATGGACAGCCATTTGTCTAAAATGGTACAAGGTTTCTCATGCTTGAGCAGGGGGTTGGACTAGAAGACCTCCAAGGTCCCTTCCAATCTATTCTATATTCTACAAATCTGGAAGCCAAAGGGGCTCCATCACTTACCCTGTAGCAAGCGATTCCTACTCCCAGCCAGGTGAGACAAGAAGGTGATTTCTTACTTGCCAGGAGGTAAATGTGCTTGGCTTTGTCATACTGTCAAAAGAAGAGAGAGAGAGAGAGAGAGAGAGAGAATTACTCTTCAGGCTGTGGCAATTTAGGATGGCTTCTCTTTGCTTGTTGACAATCAAGGCCTGCAGTTCTCCAAACCGAAAGAGGTTATTAGTAGCTGTTTGAACATGACTTGCTTCAGGCAGGTGGTTAGAGAAGGCTCATAAAACTGATAAAAATCATCACAGAATACAGGAGGGTGTGATAGAACCCATCTTGGCTATGAGAAGGAAAATAAAAGACAAGTTCCAAAACTCAGAGGTGAAGGAAAGCATTACGGAAAGATTAAGTATGAAATTAGCTTTGACCAATGGCTGGAATGTATTTTCTCCCACATGGGAAAAGTATATATATCTTTTTGCTTCTTTCTTCTGTCTGAAGGAGTTTTGGGAGTGGGGGAGGGAGAAGAAACTGGTTTAAGCAACTTGTTATGACTATTAAAATGATCGTAAAATTACTTTCATGGGAAATAATGGCTTCTTAGTGTGCTGTCCTGGTTGCACAAAGCAACAAGAACACCGAACACTAGCCAGCCTCAGAGCAAAACCCAAATTCAACAAATCAACCCCAACTTCTCAACATAGTATAATAGTGATCATTATCTTTACAGTATACATTGGCTCTAACAGGACTAGCAATTAGTTAGCTAATTGCTTGCAACAATCCTCTTCTTTTCCCTCTAGCAATATATTGTGCAGTGTCCACAATAGATAACTAACATTGGATCATCTGCTACTTTGACCCAATACACAACTATCACATTCCTCTATCAGGTCTAAGCCAACAGCAGTAGGGACAGGAACATTCCCTCCCATTGTGTAGACTAGACTGAACGTTTTAAAAGAAAATAGTTACTCAACCACAATTCACAAAACATAAATCCAGGCATAGAACCCGGAACTGCTCAGAACTCTCCAACGGCCTGAAGCGTGACAACAACTCTCTCCAAAGAGACAGGTTGTGTTCTGAGCTGAAAGGTTTACTTGCAACTCACAACCATTGGAAGGCAGAAAGGTTTGCACAACTCTCCTGTACCCCCTGAAGTACCTGAAGTCCGGAGGAGTTTCACTGGACAAAACGCACAACATGGAAGATGAGATCCATCTACTCCCTTTCAAATTTCCTAATCCGTTTTGTTGTTCTGGGAAGCCTCCGTGGATAGAGCTGCTATCACAGACTTCCTTGGTTGGTTAGTTGGTTGGTTGGTTGATTTTATACTCTCAACAAATCTGGATGCTCACAATAATCAAATGGGGACAATCCAATCGGTAAAATTTAAAAGAGGAAAACGGAAAATGTGATGAAGTGGAGGTCTCCCCTTGGTGAAGGACCAAGGAGCTACCAACTCACAAACACCCAATCAAACAACCACCAAGAATGCTCCAGTCAACACTGACAGGGAAAGTCACCTGTATATAAACAGAGAGCAAATCCTATTCCCTTTTAGCACTGATGATATTGCTTAGTTAGGTCATGAAATGTCTGCAAGAAAACAATCACGTTCAGAGAGTACCAAGGACTCCCTAGTTCAACCCAAGGCACAAATAGTCTCTTCTATTGGCCATTACATATAAACAGAGAGCAAATCCCATTCCCCTCTAGCACTGATGATGTTATCTAGTTGGGTAGAGAAATGTCTACAGCAACAAAACAAGTTCCAAGGGCCTCACAGTTCAACCCTGAGCTACCAATGTTCTCTCCTGTTGGAACCAAGTCTTAATGGCTCTTCTCAATAACAGCAGAATAGGGGGGGCCATCCGAACTTGGGTAGAACTGAGACAATGTTTCTGCCCACCCAAGTTCTATGGGGCAGTCATCTCAAGTCAATGAATCCACCAGGATCTCCTTATTGGTCCCATTTCTACCTTCTCACCTCCTTGCCTTCCAGGTAGATGGAGCCCAATCGCAGATACACAGTGTGCATATCCTTCGCGTCCGTCACAAAGCTAATGGTGCGTTCGTAGCAGGATTTTGCTTCACTGAAATTCCCTGTCAAGTAGCAGAGATGGCCTTTTTGAGCCCAGACCTCTGGATTCTAGAGAGGGAGCAGAGAAATGGAGGGGTTAAGCATGACCTATGGAGACCGGCAAGGAATCATAGGGTGATAAGGCTGGAAGGGACCTTGGAGATCTTCTAGTCCAACTCTCTCTGGTCAAGGCAGGAGATCTTATGTCATCCTGGTCGAATCAATAACTTTCCCCCTTAAAACCTAAATAGGTAATGGGGATGCGGTGAGTGGAAAATTCTGAAGTAATTAAAACATTCAGGGATGTTGACAAAGGAGAGCTCATTCTATCCAAGAGGCAGGATAATTCCAGAATTGTAGTCCACTAGATGGGAAGATGCTCTGGAACAAGGGTCTTCCAACTTGGCAAGTTTAAGACTTGTAAGCTGCCCAAGTTGCCTCTGGATGAAGCACAGAAATCTAATCAATCAATCAATCAATCAAGTTACTCTGGGTAATTAAGAGCCCCAAATTGCTAATGAGAGATACGCACCAGGTAATCAATCTGCATAGCCATTTCCAAGCTCTCTTCTGACTGGACATATTCCTTCTTGAGCATGTAGGTCTGGGCCAGCACCAAGTAATAATCACAGCTGGGGCCTCCTTGAGGGAAGACCAACTCGTGCGCCAGCGCCCTGTGAACAAACTGGAAGGAGAGAGCCAACCCTTGGCTGCATCATTGCTGCAGGACCACTGGAATCCCTTGAGTAGCCTGCCTTGCTGCTCCTAGTCATCATTTTCCTACTCCTGGGAGTCTCTTTTGGGACTACCTCTTGCCCTATAGATGGGAGCAGGAGAGGGAGGCCTCTCTGGGAACAGGGAGTGTCTTAGATTAACATTTCTAGCTCTTTGCACTAATCAAGCAAGTTCTTCATCACGAATGGAGAGTCTGGTAAGAACTGGTTCAAATCTGCTAAAGAATGCAAACTGTGCAAACATTGAGTAATTTGCAAACTTATGATACTTCATCTTTTTTTTTAATAACCCCCATAATCCCTTGTGGGGTGGAGTCTGGGCAGCTGAATGGAGCTGAGTGTTTACTGGCCAGATGCCCTTCCTGTCACCAATGTGGAGGGTTTTACGTATAAATCACATCACGTGACTGCAAAATGCTTCGATCAACCGCAAAGGTCAGCTGGTTGCCAAGCATCTGAAATATAGTCATGTGACTTTGGTCTGCCTTTCTCCCTCCCTCCCTCCCTCCCTCCCTCTGCGTCCATCAGAACTCTGAAACCTAGTCGTAAGTAGCTTTTGGGGGAATCTGTCATAACTTTAAATGGTTGCTGACTGACCAGTTGTTCAATGAGGACTATCTGTAAAGCAGACTAAGAAGTCTACTTTGGTCTAACCGTGAGACCTTTTTACCGAATAGTGAAGTCAAAACAAGAGAGAAAAGATGGGAAGGAAGGAAGCAATTTTGTGGAACCCGTGGGAGTCAATTCTTTTTAAAAAAGATTAGTCGTTTTCTCAATCAAACAGAATAGGGCTGGAAGGGACTTTGGAGGTCCTCTAGTCCTGCCCCCTCTTCAAGCAGGAGACCCTGGAACATTCCAGACAGGTCGATGTCCAGTCTCTTCTTAAAACCCTCCAGTGTTGGAGCACCCACGACTTCTGGAGGCGAGCTGTTCCACTGGTTAATTCTTCTACTGGGAAATTTCTCCTTAGTTCTAGGTTGCTTCTCTCCTTGATGAGTTTCCATCCATTTTGTTTTTTGTATTTTTGTATTCTTTGGTGCTTTGGAAAATAAATATCTACGGAGATTCTCAGTCACCCAGGTCATGGTTGTCCCAAAGATGTTTGTTTCCGGAGACCATTGGACTTTCTTGTCTTTCTTTGAAGGCAAGCTTTTTTAGCTCTGACAGGATGGGTGGGGAATCGAAGGACGCTACACGTCCTTTGGAAAATAAATGGATCCCCTCTTCTTTGTGACAGCCTCTCAAATATTGGAATACTGCTATCATGTCACCCCTTAATCCTTCCTTTCTCTAGACTAGCCGTACCCAATTCCTGCAGTTCTTCATATGTTTTAGTCTCTGGGCCTTTAATCATCTCAGTTGTTCTTCTCTGCACTTTTTCCAAGGTCTAAACATCTTTTTTATAATGTGCTGACCGAAACTTGGAGGCAGTATTTTTTTTGCCATTAGTGTCATAAAACAGCTTGAGGAATCCGCTGCCTGTCCGCATGATGCCTTCCCTTTGTCTGAACTCAAGACAGTGATTTGCTGGGCCCAGCAGACAGACAGCAGAGAGATTCAAAACAATAGATCAGTGTGATGGCAGCTTATTCTGGCTGCACAGCAAGTGCTCGGTTTTACCAAATTTCATTGCTAGAGAAAGGCTTTTAAAAGGGAAAAGGGAAAGGATCTTGTAAAAGGAAAAAAAACAGGAACTGGGCATGGCTAGTCTAGTGAAGGGGAGATGTAACAGATAACAGATAATCAGAGCTGGAAGGGACCTTGTAGGTCATCTAGTCCAACCCCCTGCCCAAGCAGGAGACCCTACACCATTTCTGACAGATGGGAGTCAATCTCTTCTTGAAAGTCTCAAGTAATGGTGCTCCCACGACTTCTGAGGGCAATTTCTGTTCCATTGGTTGATTGCTCTCCCTGACAGAAAATTCCTCCTTATTTCCAGGTTGAATCTCTCCTTGTTCAGTTTCCACCCATTGTTCCTTCTCTGGCCTTCAGATGCTTTGGAAAATAGTTTGATCCCTTCCTCCTCTCTGTGGCAGCCCCTCAACTATTGGAAGACTGCTCTCCTGTCTCCCCTGGTCCTTCTCTTCACTAGACTAGCCAGGCCCAATTCCTGTAACCGTTCTTCATATGTTTTAGTCTCCAGTCCTCTCATCATCCTAGTATAGCAGGCTTCCAATAGCAGCCTTCCAATATTTTAGGGGATGCCAGAGAGATGAGGAGGGATTCAAGCTATTTTCTAAAGCACCTGAAGGCCAGAAAAGGAACAATGGATGGAAACTGGTCAAGGAGAGATTCAACCTGGAAATAAGAAGGAATTTTTTGACAGTGAGAGCAATCAACCAATTGAACATAATAATTCCAAATAATAAAATAATCAATAATGTAATAATGAATCAATGAATTAAATAAAGGACTAATCAAAACATTCCTGCTCATTATGTCAGTCTCTCTCAATCACCCCCTCCACAAAGACATCACAAAATAAATTTGTGTGACCTTAATCCTCCCGTCTGCTTCTGGGCTGTTACCCCAATGGATGGATGCACTCTTGGCCAACGCAATGCACCTATACATTTTCCTGGTCTTCAACCTCGATTGACCCTGTACTCACCTGAAGGGCATTGACATCCAAGAGGAATTTTATGGTTTCCATGAAAATAGAGGTGGTTTGCTGGGGGGCCATGAACAGGCCCAGATCTGGTTCAAATGCAACGGCAGCAGGTTTGGGCATTTCTGAAATGAAACCAAGAGAGCAAGGAATTTGAAGGAAACGCCAAAATAGCAGGTCCGCTTGGTTGCTCAAGAGTGAGATGCTGGTGAAGTGGGGACAGCAGCGCCTGCATTTTCTGCGTTGCGTGAGAAGAGCACCTCTTCCTTCTCCTATCCTTACCACTTTCTCTAGAGCAGGGGGGTCTTCAAACTTGACAAACTTTTAAGTGGACTTCAACACCCAGAATGCCACCTCCAGCTCAGGAATTGTGGCAGTTGAAGTCCATAAGTCTTCAAGTTTGAAGACCCCCGCTCTAGAGGGACGACTGAAAGCATCATCATATATTTCTGTGTGGTTCGGAAGTTTTCGCTTTGGATGTGTAGAGAGTGGCAAGGACAGCAGAAAAGGTTATTGGAAGCTCACTTCCTTCTATCCAGGACATGGCGTATAAGCACTGCTTGACCAGGGTCCGGAGTATTGTCAGGGACGCTACACATCCTTCCCATGACCGGTTTTCTTTCTTATATTCTGGGAGGGGGCTTAGTGGTATCTGAAGCAGAATGAGATTCCATAGTAGCTTTGTACCATAGACTATCAATCTTGTTAAACTTTGAAGACTCTTTTTTCCACTATGCATTCTAAATCTGCGATTAATATACTCTGTGTGTATATGTATGTGTACACACACACACATATATATGCACATACACACATATATATGTATGTGGATAGGATATAGACAGAGATATAGATTAGACATAGACATAGACAGACAGACAGACAGACAGAGACAGATTCTATATATATTTTCATTTGAGAGCGGGCATCATAATTTCATTTTTTAATCTGTGGCAGTGTTTTCACAGAAAAAAAGTGATAATAAATGTTATCTCATTTCATCATCACATCATCTCATACCACCCACCCTGCCTTACTTTACCTTACCTTACCTTACCTGGAAATAGAGAATCAGCCATTTTTCTTTGTTCCCTAGTGCTGGGTTAATATAATTTCAGTTCTGGAACCTTGCTTTGCAGGCCTACATTGAGTTTCCAGCTGGACCTCAAGTTGTGCAGCCGTGTCAGCAAGCTCTTGCCGCTTTCATCAGAGTGACAAATGCAGTTGGTGGCGTTGCGTTGGAAGCTCTGGGTCTTGTGTGTGTGTGCGAGCGTATGTGTATGTGTGTGAGATGTGGACAGGGGAGACCAAAAGGAGCAGGACTTCTGGCACAATAACCACAAGGCTGCTATGGCCAACCTGTGCCCACCCAACCCCAGCTGATGCTGGGGTTATCAGGCTTTGGAGAATGGTTTTGTCTAAAATGGCCCCACCTTGAATTTCAACACGCAACACAATTCTTGGCATGTGATACTAATGAACCCAAATGTAAGATGAAAGGAGAGGCGTCTATGGAGATTTTCAATCGTCCAGGTCGTGGTTGTTCCAAAGATGTTTTTCCAAAAGGCAACTGGACTTTTTTGGGGGGGGCGGGGGGGGGTTCCCCTTGAAAATGTTCCACTTCTCATCCAAGAAGCAGACGAAATCCAAGAAAACCTAGCTGCCTTTTGGAAAAGCACTTTTGGGACACGAAAGGAGAGGCCCTCACAAAGATTAAGGAGCTCTTTGTTATAAACTAGGAGTGTCAAACTCGATTTCATTGAAGGCTGCATCAGGGCTATGTTTCGGGGAGCCGGGGTGGGCATGGCCAGCTTGGTATCACTCGCATCAGAGGCACCTGTGGCAGAGAAAACGGGTTCCCGAGCTCCATTTTTGGCCACCAAAATGGAGCTTGGGAGGGCCACATTTTTGCTGGCAGAAGCACTGCGGGCCAGTCCTTCACTATTCCCAGGGCTCCCCCATGGGCCAGATCTAAGTCCCTGTGGGCTGGATCTGGCCCCCGGGCCTTGAGTTTGACACCCCTGTTATAAACAGAACAACTGTTCTGACCAAGGCTTCCCGGGACCGTAATTAAGCACACGATTAGTCCAAACAACTCTTGTTTTATTTCAACGCTGGGAATTATGTTCATTCCCAGCCGGTAATGAGTCCCAATCAGTCCCTCGAGATAAGCACCCACCTTTCTCTCCTTTGAATCGCTGCCAACAACTAGAGTGCCAAATGAATTATAAAAAACCCAACTGAAGTACAAAGGCCACACAGAGCTTCAAGGATTAATCCAAACAGAATGAACGACTTTGCTTCCTGCAAAGGTTTCTCTACCTTTGTACCTCCTTTATACCTTCTGGGAGGGGCAATCTCCTCCCAGACTAACTCCCAAGTTGCCCCTTTTGTCTCAGCTGTTCTTGCCTTCTAGCAGTTCTGCGCACACGTGCACTGGGAACAGGCTCCCCTTGTTCCTCTGCCTCGCTGCTGCCAGACTTGGAGGCTCCGGAGTCAGCACCCCACTCCCAGATGGTCCTGGCCCCATCTCTGCATCGGATGCAGGACCCTCGTCCGAGTCCTCCCCAGACTCCCAGACTGGTCCCTGTTCTTCCCCACTATCCGATTCCGCCGCCATCTGCACAGGCTGCTGGCGAACCACAAGAAGAGCATAGGCCTCCCCTAAACTCAGCTGAAGATATTACCTAGCATGGTAACAAAACGTTTGGAAACCAACCCACAAGCTTGGAGAACCAACCTCCACCCTCACAACGAGCTCTCTCTAGCTATCCCCTAAGATTGTCTACCTCTGTGAGTGCTCATCCTAAATTTACTGGGTGTAATGGACAATCGCTTGAACTGTTTATGTATGGTATCCTCTTCGGGTGCACGAAGGGAACTGGTTGGCTCCGAGGACTCTCCTTGGACTTTTCCCGTGGATTCTGGAGATTCGTCTGGAGGTAAAAAAGGAAACCAGCCCATATGAGGACACAAAAGGTAGAGTTAGAGATTCGGGTTAATGTCAGCGTTCCAACTAACCAACTCCAAACCAATAAACTCTGAGACAGGCATTTCCTCAAAGTTCCACTTCATTAGAGTTGTCATATTGGCACATCTGGAAAAACTTGAATCTGAGAGTTCCGAGTTTTCCCTTCCCAAAAGAGAAACCGAAGATCCATCCCCTGCACCCACCAGTCCATCCCATGGCCCAATCAAATCTTCGTCCCAACTGGAGACATCCCTCCAGACGCTCCTTTCCACATGCAGGGTGACATGTCCTTGACTCTCTGAGAAAGTGTTGTTGAGTCTCATCTTCCACCTCACTATGAAATCCCTCCTCCCAAATTCCAAGGCATGGAATGTGGTAACCTTGAAGCTTCCAAGTAAAATATGGTTTCCAAGGCTGACACACAAGCCTGGTTTGACCAGCCTCTTAACTGGATCACAGAACAATGTTCAACAGAAAGTCTCCATCTAGACTAAAATGTAAATGGTATAAGGTAAAGGTTTCCTCTCTCTAGTCAAGTCAAATTCTAGTGGCAACGTTCATCTCTGTTTCCTAGCAGAGAGAGCCACCTGTCTGAAGACACTTCCGTGATCATGTGGCTGGCATGACTAGACGCGAGGTTCACGGAATGCTGTTACCTTCCCATACAAGTGGTACCTATTTATCTACTTGCATTGCATGCTTTTGAACTGCTAGGTGGGCAGGAGCTGGAGCAAGGAATGGGAGCTCACTCTGTCATGCAGTGTTTGAGTCTCAAACTGCCGACCTTCCAGTCGACAGGTTTACAACTTGTCTAACACTGGTTAGGAGCTCAGTTAACTTTCTGAGTTAATTTATGGGGTGTGCAGTCTGTTGGCCAAGGGAATCCATGGGAACAATGTCAAAGTAAGAGCTCTTCACTGACTGTCACCATCAGCCCATTCCTAAGGAGAAATTTCGTGATAGTGAGAACAATTCATGAATGTAACAACTCGCCTCCTGGAATTGTGGGTGCTTCATCGCTGGAGGTTTTCAAAAATAGACCGGACAACCATTTGTCTGGGATGGGATAAAGTCTTCTGCCTTGGGTCCCTTCCACCCCTATAATTCTATAATAATTCTGTAATTCTATAATAATCCTATAATTCTCTTTGTTTTTCCAGATTGCTTTTTCCTAGGCCCAGGATAATGGGTCTGAGGTGCCCTGGTGGCACAGTGGTTAGAATGCAGTATATTCTGCTAGTTCTGCCAACTGCCAGCAGTTTGATCCTGACTGGCTCAAGGTTCATTCAACCTTCCATCCTTCCGAGATCGGTAAAATGAGGAGCCGCATTGTTGGGGGCAATAGGCTGACTTTGTAAAGCGCTTAGAGAGGGCTGGAAAGCACTGTGAAGCAGCATATAAATCTTAACTGCTGTTGCTGTTGCCAGAGAAGAGGCTAATTCCCAAACCGTGTCTCCTGGATCCATAACCGTACTTTGTAAATGCCAAATTTAAGCTGGACTCTGTTTCTCAATGCAGAGAGGTTACCATGGAAACAACAGAAAGGCTGCAGCACTCAAAAGCACCAGGATAAAGGTGAAAGGATGACATCTGGCTACTTTGGCAGGCATAGCTGTACTCCTCTGGTGTTGTGACCCAGAAATTTGGCAGCCGAGCAAGAACTGAAACATTTACAAATCAAAGAAAGGTCCGGGTACATTTTAGTCCCACCTTTAAAAAATACAATAAATATCTCACTCATTTTTACAAATCTGCAATCGGATTTGATTGTGCAGAAGACTTTGACTCTCAGCTGCGGCCCCGATCTGAAGGTTTCGGTTTGAACCACAAAGTGCCCCATCTTGGATGTGAAAACAGCTATTTGGCCCTCAAGGTCATAATAGAAAGACTGCCCCGGCCTGTCACCTCGAGACCCACCATTCTGCACTTAAAGTAGGAACTCTTCCAGTGGAAATGGTTCAAACTCAAAATGTTTTGCCCGACCCTGATTTCTATTGATGGATGTATCCAAAAATAATAAATATTATATTCCACTAGCAATGGAAATGGGGGAGTGGAACACAAGGACAGGCCGAAAAAGAAGGTTAACTTTATCTGGGTTTTTCCTTGTAGACTCAACATCATCATGGAGGTCCACCCAGAGCAGGGGTTTCCAACCTTGGCCGCTTTACGGCTTGTGGACTTCAACTCCCAGAATTCAGCAGGGCTGGCCAAGGGATTCTGGGAATTGAAGTCCACAAGTTGCCAAAGCTGGAGACCCCTGACCTAGAAAACATTGGGGGGAGCAGTTCAAAAGAGGCTCTCCTGCAAACATTCTTGGCCAACCATCCTTTTTTTTCCTATACAGGTAGTCCTTGACTGACGACTACAACGGAACCCAAAATTTATGTTCTCAAGTGAGAAATTTCTTAAGCGTGTTTGCTCCACATTAGGATCTTTCTCGACACCGTTGTTAAGAGAATCACCGCAGTTCTCAAATTAGCCACAGGGCTGCTCAGTGAATCGGCTCAGCTTCCCCATGGACTTGGCTCGCCACAAGGTTGCCAAAGAGGATCACGTAACCCCGAGACACTGCAGCCGTCATAAATCGGAGTCGGTTGCCAAGCCTCTGAATGGAAAGCACGTGACTACGGGCATAAATGTGAAAAAGGGTCATAAGTCGCTTTTTTCAGTGGCGTTGCAACTTTCAATGGTCACTAAATGAACTGCTAAGTCGAGGACGACCTCTAACGCTTTGGAGAACGTGGTAGAGTTTGTGGCTTGTCGGCCCTCGTGGGCACGTCCAGCTTACCAGACTCCTCCGGGCCAATCAGGGACTGCATCCGCGAAGGCATATACGACATCCTTTTCTTTCCTACTGGTACTTCTTCTGTGCTCGGAGGACTTGGTTTCTCTTTGGGCAGACGGGCCTTCTGGAGCTTGGTAGCCTCATGGAAGGCCATCTCGACTCGAATGTAGTTTTCCTGGATATCATAGAAAAGTCCTAAAGGAAAGGTAGGGAAAGAAAGAAAAAAAAAAGGAAAAAAAAAAGATTTCCCTCAGGAAATCATCGCTGTGATGTTGAAGGAGGGCATAGAAACATCGGGGTTATCAGGTTCTTTGGTATCCACCTAAAATGGAGAGTATCATCTTTATTTATTGAATAGGTTGATGGGTCTCCTTTATTTTGTGCAACTCAAAACAATGTACTTCAATGTACCTGCTTTTTCTTTTTGCAATGAGAACCTGATGTGGTGGGTTGGGCTGAGAGAGGAGAACTGGCCCAAAGTCACCCAGCTGGTCTTCATGCCTAAGGCGGGACTAGAACTCATCATCTCCTGGTTATTGGC